CAACTGTTGGTTCTCGTCAGACAGAAAATGGGACGCAAACGACAATTTTTTGGTGGGCTGTGGGTAAAAAACTTCTGATATTTCTGTTGGGCTCGCGTGTGGTGCTGTTGAGGTGCCGCAAGTCGCCCCAATAGACGCAATTACTTAGATTTTTTCCTCTGGGAGCCATGACCAACGGACGAACGCGATCACTGCTTCGTCACCGCTGCCCACAGTTGCGACTACGCTGCGACCATGTTATTCGACGCGTCGATTGAGCCGGACGGTCGCGCCGTCTCCGGCGTTACGAAGAAAAGACAGTCGGGGTGCCTTGCACAAAGGGAAAAAAAAGGCTGAGAGGAAGGGGGCTGGATCAAGGGAGAACCAACAACGAATTCCGTGCCATTACATGTTGCACGTGGATATAGAGCAGTACAAGCAGTAGGAGTACATATATCTCCAAGAAGTGAACAACATCATGCGTTGTTTGATTGAACAGGGTCAACAAATATTCCACACAAGTCCTCTCTCGTTGATTATTTGGCGCCGTGCGTGGTGTGGATGGTTCGTTGTTTTTTTCCAGGGCGACATGGCGGTTTCATCGAAAAACAATTCAAGTCCGTTGGAGAGTCTTAACCAACGTCGACGGTGACACTTGTTGGAGGCCAAGCGTGTGTGACGCGTCCGGGGCTGGTGCATGTTGGCGGAAGGGATACTCCTCGTCTTCATACCTGCGGCACCACTACCGCCAGTAGGGGTGTTGGAACAACACAATCGAGGGAGAGCCCACGATCACATTTATCGCATAAAAATTTACGTTTCCTGAAAAACGCTTACCTCTGAGCCCCTGAGGGAGGTCTCCAGAGAAGCCACGGGCGTGGCACACACCAGTAGAGCTGCCGCAAGTCTCGTCATGATGCTGGTAGCTGCTGTCTGGGGGGGCGGGAAAGGGAGCGAGCAGCAGTGTGGTGGTATAAATGTAGCAGCAGGATCAGCAACAGCAGTTGCAAAAGCAAATTACATCTTGTAAAAAGAGCGGGAATGTTAAAACTACAGTACCGCTTTAGACTTTCAACCAACAAATACACACAAGGTAATTAGTCACATGTCGGACAGAGCGACAGCAGTCTTGCGAGTCTCTTCGTTGCACCACTATCCATTGCCGAGAATGACAACGCGTGTGCGTTGTGGTGTCCGAGCTAAACTTTAGCACCCTGTTCGACAGCAGTGACAGGGGTCTCGCCTGCGGCTGCCTTCCTGCGCAACCGCTGCTGGTGTTGGTGCACACAACAACAAGAGATAACCAGATCAGCCGGAAAACAGACACACGTTGGCGTGGCCGTGATGAATCATAGCTGTGCGTTCCCCCCGCAATAGCTAAAGCCATAGGCACCTACACGCTCTGGTGGCAAGCCAGCAGAGCACACTCCCGACTCTACTCGTGACCTCTTGCGACTCCAGCAGAGCAGACACAGCAGTAGTTTAGCTGCTGCACACCCTTCCAGCCTGGGAAAGCTTTGGCCTCTCGCGATGAATCGCACGGTGAGCGGCAATAGCCCACCGAACCATTGCTTCTGACGGCGCGGCAAACCAGTTCTCGCATCGGAACAGGGTCTCTCACCTGCTGTTGGTACACACCCGGTGCTAGCTACTAGCGGCGGTGGAGCGCGAGGGAGTCAGGAAGGAGAGAAAGGAGTGCGTGGGAGATGGTGTTGTGGTGGGGGTGACTTGTGCTTCCCGAGAGATCAGTTAAGTTTCGCGAAGCGAAACCATCGATCCAACGTGTCTGTGGCGGCGTGTGTGAACATCGCAAAGATCCGTTGCCAGAACAAGGAAGGATCCAAGATCTGGATGTGTTCGCGCAGATCCGGACCACGGAGGGAATAAAAATGGCGTGAGACGTAGGGATCCAAAAATCTTGGCCAAAGACATGGCTCCGTGGTGCGCCGCCTTGGCTTGGCGCAGGACATCGGGTGCGAGAAGAGGACAACGGACTGCTGCGGCTATCCCGCTCGTCGTTGGATAGCGTGGAGATATGGTCTTGCATCCTGCCGGCAGGAGTCGATCGGAAGAAAAGTGACGACGATACCATAGAATCAGTCATCCATTGTTGCAACGGTTATTTTAGCCTGGAGATTGGGTTATACTATCGATTGTTCTCGCCACAACGCACACTTCGCTTTACGACTAATGTATGCACAAGCAATTAATTTCGTATGGTGGTGGTCAAGCGGTATGTGTGCGTTGAAATAAGGTGGTCGGAATAGTCTCGTCGCCCCCGCCCGTCGGCATCAGATAGATGCCCTTCCTCGTCTCTCCAACTTTTTTTCCCCTCCTCCTGTTGTTCTCCACATCGTCAATCTGCACCAACATCAGCCAGCTGCGGTTTATTTGTGGTTTATTGGACTACTACAGCAGTCCTTCCATAGCGTAAAGTATACCGACCGCTTGTTGCCCGTCTCCTTATTGTCGAGCTCCGTCCTAGACAACTGCGTCCTGCTCGCGGCAAGGAGCTCCCTGAAGCGCTCGGTGACCATCAGCTCCACCGCCCGGGGCACGCAATGCTTGCTCTTCCTTCGGCCGGCGGTGGTGACGCCGGCCCCTGACGCGCGGTCTTCATCCGCTATCACCTCCAAAACGCGACTGGCGAGGTAGGCATTCTCTTCCCAGTCCATCATTTTCTTCGGGTTAATGCTCGCCCCACTGCGAATGGCGCTACGCACAGCCATAACCAAGGCCTCCGGAACCTCGACGGTCGCTGGTGACGCCGTTGGGGGCTTGGAGGCCGGGGCCTCACCTGGAAGCACGCAGGTTGACAACCATGGGTGGAACCGAGAGGTGTCATGAAGAAAAGCGGTTAGGGTTGGAGCTTTCGTGCACATGGCATTGGTGCCGATGCAGCCGTAGGGACATGCACCAAAATAGCGCGAAGTCTACCACCTACATACGCTCTTTCGTCGTGTGTGTGAGAGAGAGACGGAAGCGAGAGAGAAATTGTACAGAGAGAGGTAGATGAACAGTGGGATGAGAGAGGGGAAAGTCTATCGCACCGAAGGGTTCCCACCTGTTGCTTTATCCTCGAGATCCGCGTAGTAGGGGCTTGGGCGCCCACACACCTTGTCGACATCGGCTAGGGCCTTCTCCAACACTAAGCTGCTCCTCTCCCTCGAAAGGCCGGAGATACCTCGCGCCTGGATAGCGATCTGTAGGAGGCTGACAGGCCACGCTGAGTACGGCTTGTTCTGGTTGCGTTTGAGGGACCTCTGGNTGGAGGCTGACAAGCCACGCTGAGTACGGCTTGTTCTGGTTGCGTTTGAGGGACCTCTGGGTCATGGCGGACGCCACCGACTGCTGCGGCGTTGGGGATGGAGATTTCGCCCTCGACGGTGTGTTACCCTTCTCCATCACAACAGTGAGTACCGGTGCATCAAGCGCCGTGCGCGCTGAGCTTCCGGTTGCCGCGCCGTTGTTGCTGGAATGGTGTTGTGTGTCGAAGGAGTGGTCACTACTGCTGTCGCCACCGGTACCATCATCGCCGCCGACATCATCGCCGCCGGCACCAATGCCGCCGACCTCCTCGTCCCTCATGATATCAAGCAGGGTTTCCCCCATCTTCGGAGGACCTGATGACCCAGCCCCTGTGGCGGCCCTCGCCGGAGGGGGAGATGGATCAGGGGTGTGTAGCGCCGACGGAATGCCAGAGATGCCTGGGAGCATTCCGCGCGCGCTCGAACCCTCGCCGGCAGCGGCGCCAAGATGGCCCTCCTTTCTGTATCTGGCTGGGGTAGCAGCCATTCGGCGACCAGTAGCGCGTCCCTTTGTGCTGTCTGCCATGGTGCCTTGGTTGTGGAGGTGTTGACGGCGAAGGTGTTGAGTATGTGTGTGTGTTGTGCTCGTTGGCACCAGGCAAGCGGCGAGATAATATTGAAAATTGAAAATTGAACCATCTGCAGCACGTGTAAAATGAAGATGTTGGTTCCGAATATTTGGACCCAAATTTTGTACAAAATTTGTACAAAATTTTTTCATGTATAAAACGGGCCTAAAACTAACACCAAGGAATTTTGTTTTTTGTTCGGGCGGAGAAATTCCCATGTATATGAAGCATGTAGAACGTGGCTGTTCAGTGCTCAAGCAGTGTAATACGATAGCGATGATAGTACATATGCATAGCAGCAGCAGTTTTGAGCGGGAGAGCGAAAGAATTCTAGGCTGTTGTTCCCTTCTCCAGTGTTTTCGCAGGAGCCCCAACCCTGAGCTCACGTGAGTCCATCCGCCTTCCCATGCTTTCTGGACACTACTGGAAGAAGTGTGGCGAATGCCACGCATTTGGGTATGTTTGTTCGGGCTTAGCGAGCGCGGTCACACGGGAGAGGGGTACGGTAGAAAGACCAAAGCACGTAGTCTACTTCATGGTTTTTCTTCATACTGGAAAGGGCGGCTGGTGGTAAAGGGCTGCCTGCTGTGTTTCGCGCAAGGCAGTATTCCGCCTGGAGGTCACATTTTATCGTTTGCAGGGAGAGCATCAATGTGCCCCAGAACCCCGCTGACAAGAGAGGGAAGGACTCTTCGTGTTATTTTTTCTCCTCTGTACGTTATCGACTAAGTCTTTCATGGATTTCCAAAGGCTTATCGGTAGATACATGACGTTCAGGTAAGTTCGTCTACATTGGGGAGGGGTCCTATGTTCACGTGAATATTTTTTGCTGCGACGGGGCGGCTATTTGTGAATGGGCGTTGTCGTCTGTGTGATGGTGTGCAGCATGCCTGATTGCTGGCCTTTTGTTCCTCGTATGGCCGTTCGTTCCTCATGTCCCAAGTTAGATCAGAGTGTTGGGACGGCTTTGGAGATGGGTATCCTTGCTTTTACATCGGAACTGGTAGAACAGCAACAAAACGACATGCAAGAAGTGACTCAACTATGGTAGGTGTCGTACAAACTGCTAGCTATACAGGAGAGAGGGGCGCCCGGCAGAGTTCCTTGGGACGCAAAAAAAGAAAATCGAGTATCGTAGGCGTCAGGCGTCAGTCCTCTAAAACCCCTTATTGGTCGGTCCCTATTCTCGCCAACGGTGGTCGGTTTAGCATCCCATTTCCATTTTTCCATCGCCCATGCTACAGTTCCGGCCACACTCTTCTTGATGGAGGGGTCCAGGCTTCGCACAAACGACTCACATCTCATCACCTGCTTTACGAGAGGTGTGCAATTGATTGAGCCTTGTCGGCGACAAAATGCTCATGTTACAGGTGCAGTTCACCCGTGAAAATGAAGAGTCCAACACATGTGTAGTCTACCAACGTGAATATCAGACTCATGTTGACACCGATCCGCTCCCTTTGAAATGCCCTCCGCCCGACGGCGTAGCATTTCGACTTCGAACTGTACGGACAGCCCCACCGGCAAAATCCATCCTCCACGCGAACCGAGCACAAAGCCAGCAAGGATTTTCCTCGAAGACATTGACAATGCACCAGACTTTTGATCGTCAAACAGGTCTCGACCAGATTTGCCACTCGGCGCGTGGCGGATAGATACGATAGACGTGTTGATGACTCCCAAGGTCGAGCAACGACACACGAACAACTCCTCGTTTGCGCGCTTGTAGGCCATCATGATTGTCAACTACAACACCTCAGAGTTGTCTTCAAACAGCCAGTCGAGTGGTACACAAAATGAACAATTTCGTTCTTCCCGCGGGGAAGGAAGAGATTGTGTGGCGTGCACGGAGTACGTGCGCTTTTAGGCCATCACATCTGCCACAAGCATCTTAACTTCTCCTCACGCCGCTGTCACTGCAGAAAAATCAAAACAAAGCTCACAAGAACACTGCTGTCACGGTGGCTAGCCTTTCGTGTGACAACGAACCACAATCAACGGTAAATCTACATGGCTATTGTCAAGGCTAACTCTGGCTTGTCATGGTATGCAACTGACACCTTCTCAGAGCCACTCTTGATGTTCCTGGGAAGAAGGCAAACAGCTACAGCTACAGCTACTGGATGGAGGCAAATTTCATCAAAAACTCTTCGTCTACAGGTGGAAGACTTTCTGGGCGAAGTGCTCTCAAAGAGCTGCAATCGTCGCCTAAGAAGGCAAGCCAAACCTGGATGGAGGTGAAGATCATCAGAAACAGTTACAGGTGTAATCTCAACATGCGTACGAAGGTCGACCTACGTTCAAAGCGCTGCACGTACGTAAAAAACATGTGACCAATAACATTCAACCACAAAAACACCTCCGACCTCCCTCTCTACAACCCTACTGCAATTCAACTACTGGTATGAAACAGCGCCGAGTCCAGTTGGTGTGGGAAAGTACAACTAGGGGTTCGTTTCTCGGAAGCCTCACCCACTGGGGACAGAGGAAGTTGAAGACGGAAAAAAATATACAGTACATCATGCCAAAGCCAAAACCAAACCAACACGATCGGGGTAAATTCTTGCAGCTGGATACACTCTTGCCGAATCGATGCTAAACACACCGCCATCACCGAACGACAAGAGGAAATCATTACAGCACCACCAGTGACTGAAAGAAGGCGGTGATCACACGGCCGGGTGGTCGTGAAATTGCGCCATCAGGCTGCTTCATGATCCCGGCTTGTCCACTCGCGGCGCGCCAGCAGCGGGCGACAACGGCCCCCGTGGCGACGGACCCCGAGATTCCTCGACAGCCTTCGCCACCTCCGCTTCCACGAGAGAGGCAACGCTCGCCTCCAACTCCACCCTCAGGTTCTCGACGCTGCGAGCCACGCTTTGCTCTAGCTCCGCGATCTGGTCCTTCAGGTCAGCGTTCACGGACTTGAGAAGAGCGAGGACGACCTCGCCCCGACCCCTCCCGGCCTCGTCCAGGTGGTCCAGCGCATGTATGATTTCCTCCACCGTTACCGTTTGGTCCTGTTCGTCTTGCCGCTGCGCGAGGCCGTCGGGCGTCGTGGGGTTCTCCAGCTGCGCCCAGATCTCCGCAACACTGGAGCCGGCGGCGTGACGTCCCCCGGTGGAGGCGTTCCCCCGTCGCAGCATGTCAGCGACGACGACGTCACTACAGACGGACGGCGAACCGGCGGTAGGCCCGCCGCCGGAACCAGCAGCGGAGGGTCGACGCGAAACTCTCGTGCCGCTGCCGTCTTCCCCTCCATTCCCGCCGCAAAGCGCAGTCGCCAGCGTCTTGAGCGTCAGCGCCGCGAGCCCCAGCCCGGAGCGGACCCAGAACCACACCAGGACGAAGGGCAGGGCAAAGAGGTGGAGGATAACGACGACGGAGCTGTAGGCCACCGCGACGGACAGCGACCTCCCGGTGAAGGTGGCCCTCCTCCAGGCGGTCAGGACCGCCGCCGGCACCGATGCCGCCCAGAGACCCCACGCGATAAGGATCGCCGGGGCGCCGAGCGTCAGCCAGAAGACTCCCACGCTGAACTCGCGCATGATCTTGGGGCAGGTCCTGGTGCCGAGCAGGCCGTCGACCCCCTTCGCCACGAGACCCACGGCGATTTGGGGCAGGTTGAACGGGGAGGGGAGGACGTCGCTGTCGACGATGCGGACGTAGAGCTTCATAATGCGGACCTNGGGGGGAGGAGGAGAGATAGAGTTGATACCAAGATAATAGACACCAACAGCAGCGGAGGCTTCCTAGTGAAGACTAGTGAAATCCTGTAATAAAGAACCAAACGACTGCTTGGTTACACTTGTACATGTAAAAACTAAAATAAACGCTGATCCGGCTTCCCATTTTCTGTAGGGCAAGCTGCCGTCGACTTACTGGTATAGCGGCTGGAAAACTAGTGGCGTTTCAATCAACACGACTCGCAGAGACCCCCCCCTCCGGTGGCTCCACTCGAAACAACCGGCATCCCCGTGACGCCAGGCAACGAAACGAAAAAGGAAGGCCTGCACGATGCGGGGTGGACCACGACAAGGCAACACTCTGACCAAGCGTCCCCTATCTAAAGAAGCAATCCACCTCCACTATCAATGTGAACACACGAACAACGACGCAGCAACTGCATCCCTGAAAGTGGAAATGAGCACACGTTCGCGCCAGGTGATGCGACAAAACAAAAAACGTGCATCTTCACCACAAACAGCAATTATGTGTGAAAACCAAGAGCAACGACAACAACGACACCAACAACAGCAACAACAACGACAACAGCAACAACAACACCGACGACGACGACGACGACGACGACGACGACGGTGACAAACACTGACGGGTGTTTTCCTCACCTCAGTACCGCGATGAGAAGGTTAAGAAGCATGATGGTCACCACGGTCAGGTACAGGACAAGGAGAAACCGGGCGACATATCTGTGCACACTGTCTTCGTAGTTCTCCGCGAACACGCTCACCTCGCCGAGCATGGCTTTGAAAACGTCCAACCAAGTCTGGCGACATGGGGGGGGGCGTGGGGAGGGACGTAGCAGCACGGTAGCAACGAGAAAAAGAGGTGACGAATAACAGAGGAACGACACACGTGCAGGAGCTGCCGTTAAATCCCACATTTAGGGTCCCGGAGAAACGAGGCAAGAGGTGCAACTGAGGGCGTTAGGCCCAAGGGAACACCATGTGTACCTCGCTACAGGTTCGTTTGGCATATTTTAACTGCAGACGCCTTAGCAGTCCGGAAACGACAACAGCAACAACAACAACAACAACAACAACGAGAGCTTACGGCGGTGCAAGACTCACTTCGCCGTACGATTTGTCCTCCTGGAATAGAGCGAAGAAGCTCACGGTGAAGCCCATCATGATCGTCCCGAGAACCAGGGCGAACTGGAGCATCTCCCCAAACAAGATGGTCATCATCTGCGTTCGGGTGGGAGGGGTGCGGGACAAACGCAGGTCAAGCACCACAAGACAAGCGTTCGGCGGCGGCGGGAGTAGGAAGGGTAGGTTGGCGGTGTACGACGTGATACAAAAGCGCGAGAGGTCACCGTAGGTGCCGCTTGCGTTACAAGGCCGGAAGCTAATGTACCCTCTGCGTTGTCTTAACCATTGTCCTCGCACTGGGGCGCGCAGTCAGCTGTGGGAGCAACAAAGGAGATTACCACCCTCCACTCCGGCGCCCCCCGGTGTTTGCCATTGGCGTTGGGTTTTCGTCGCTTGGCAACGACGTTGTAAAACAAGCCGCCCGCCCCCCGGTGAATCCAAGGAGAAGGAGGGTCTAGAAGTGTACGGAATGTTGAAGGAAGGAGTAGGGTTCAAGGATTGCCTACATGGACCAATGGATGCATGAACAAAGCTGAAGGTCAAATTCAGGACCGGGGACATAGGCCTTCGAGAACGTCGACGAAGACATAGGAGGGTAGACGACGAAGACGACGAGTTCAAAAGTGATTGCGGCTTCGAATGCGAAGACCGTGTCCATGTAGTCGCGGAATGTCCGTTGTACAAGGAGAGGAAAGTGCACGTGACTGAGCTGGGAAAAATAGAAGGAACGTACAGGGAGATGTTTGAGGCATGGAATAGAGAGGAAAGGACGGTAGCTGTACTGGGGCATAGGAGGTGGGTTGAAAAGGCGGGAAGGGATATCGTTAGGATAGACAGACTAGGGAAGACATTTTTGAGNGAAAAATAGAAGGAACGTACAGGGAGATGTTTGAGGCATGGAATAGAGAGGAAAGGACGGTAGCTGTACTGGGGCATAGGAGGTGGGTTGAAAAGGCGGGAAGGGATATCGTTACGATAGACAGACTAGGGAAGACATTATTGAGACACCGTTGGCAAAGTAGAAAGGAACGATTGGCCAACGGTGATCGGTCCTGTGGGAACAATGCTCCGTCTGCTCGAGGACGCGTGATCAATGGTCTAACCGCCAATGCATGACATAAGAGTACGCCCTCCCCCCCCGGTGTTTGCCATCGGTATTGGGTTTTCGTCGCTTGGCAACGACGTTGNCACGAAGCTCGGGGTTATCGTAACATTCTTCCCGTCGTTTCTAGGCACTAGTCCACGCAGGTTTTCTCAGTACGTACGCAAACATACTGGATTAAGTATAGAACCGTCTATGTGGGGGTTAGGGTCTGCTTAGGGTCTGCGTGCCCCCTGTCTGGTCGTTTTTCGCAATAGACTTACTTTTATTGCGCAGGCAGTCCTTTCTAGGAAGGCAGGCACCCACTTCTTCAGATTATCAGACCGTTCCGGTCTCCGCGCAAGTCCTTTCATCACCCACAGAACACACACCCCATCACGCGCCAAGATGCACAACGACAACGTCGTGGTGAGCGCACAACCCGTCGCTCAAGCTCGCCTGAATCACGAGGCCCTGGCGCTTCAAGAACTGCCCGAAGAACAGCACGCGAGAGAACACGAGCGGGGCGCTGAGGGCGAACAACGCGCGACCCTGGTGCACGTCCCTGTTGTCGATTCGGATGGTCAGCCCTCCCGCCAGCAGGAGCAGGGACAGGCTCTCCAACCAGTTCCACTTGTCCCGCCAGAACTCCACGAAGCCCGCCCGCATTTGGAGGAGGTTGCTCACGATCTCGGCCTGCGTGTTTGTCGAACGAAACCAACCATCCCCGTGGGGGTAGGTCCACCGTGGGGACAGGGTTGGTGTTCAGAACTTTGCTCAGTGCTTGTTAGCATCCGCACTGGTTGAACTGACATGGACGTCTTCCGTGGCTACGGGCTTCGAACAACCATGCACCGAAAAGGGATACCACACGCCTCGAACAACCAAAGAGGAGGCAACAAGGACAAGAAGAAGAAGACAACAACAAGAAGAAGAACAACAACAACAACAACAACAACAAAGGGTGCTTGCTCACCATGACATGGAACGTCAGGGCAATCTCGGTGTTGCTGAGCTCGGCGTCGTCGCTCTCCAACGCCACCGTCGTGTAGAGCGCGAGCGTGATGAGGTGCACGTAGAAGCCGAGCAGCATCCGCATCACCGGCACCTGACACCACACACACACACGTCCAACCCCAAACGCACACACCGGTGGCACCGGGGGCGTGATTAAGCCCATAGGCTAGCTACATGGTCCAAACACTTCCGAGAAACCCTAGAGAGCAGGAGCAGGGGAGGGGGGGGGGAAGTGTACTCCTAGTCGTGCATGCCGTAGTCGCTAGACCATTGACCTCGCATCCCTACAAAGCCGGGATGGAGCACGCCGGGTTCTCACCGGACCATGCTCTCACATCACCAAGCGCGAAGCCCCGTGAGGTACTCGGCGAGTCGCATGAAGGGTGCGCTGCATCCTGCTAAGGGTGTTCGGCATCTTGTGCTTACTTCCTTGCGTACGGATGCCAGCTGCGTATGACTTAATTTATTTTCTGGTGCTTTCACTTCCTAGGACAGTTGTAAGCACTGTGTAACTGCCTCGAGGGTGCTTGACCATTTTAACACAACGTGGTGCGATCATCCCCCTCGCGCCGAGTGAGGGTTCACGACCCCGCACAACATGATCTACTCGACCACCACTGTGGTTACCGCCAAAAAAAACAGAGGAAATAACAAGCAAACGATAACCTGGTTGCCGAGTTCACGAAGTGAATTGGCTTGTTTTTCAACGTCGTTGCCAAGCGACGAAAACCCAAAACCGATGGCAAACCGAGGGGAGGGAGCAGGAGTAGGGATGTAGGAAAACACCCAAAATAACGCGGACACACGTATGGGTGATTTTCTGACAAGTTGTTCCAATGGGGGGGG